CTGCCCGGCCGGGCGAGGCGGGCGACTCCGCAGTGACTGGTAGGCTTGTTTCTGGAAGGCCGGGAGCTGCGTGAACGCCGACGGCCGAGGGGCTCCCGGCCCCCCAACACTGACCTGTCCCCGGCCCTGGAAGTTCGGCGTTCGGGGCCCCCAACGCTTGTGCTTCGTTTGAGACGCTGTCCTTAAAGAGGGAAAAAGAAGAGGAGAGGCCGGCTGGGAGGGTGGCTCAGCGGTAGAGCGCTTGCCTCGCATGCTCGAGGCCCCGGGTTCGATTCCTCAGCGCCACCTACACAGGGCGGCTCCTGGGGTAGAGTGCTTGAGTTCAAGAAAGGAGAAAGTTTGATTTGTTCGAGACAGCAAATGCAACTAAAAGTCACTAAGATGTCCAAACGGCTACGGCGCCCAGGATTTGGTTTCCGTGTCACTGTATCTGGGTGGAACTTGATTCGGCTCTTCCAAGCTCCAAAGCATGAATCATCGAATTGCCTAACTTCCAGTGAGGAGTGTGTGTGTGAGACCACGGTCACACAGCGCACTTGTGCCCAGGAACCCGGGCTTGCACACACGAGGGCTCAATGGCTGCTCCCTCCAGTTCAGGGACCGCGTCACCCTCAGAGGGGCTGGAAGCATGCAGTTCTTGGCTGGGGAGGTATTCCGTGAGACCAACTTCCTATCTAACACAAATTGCAGGGGGTGCTACTGACAGCACAAGTTAAAGCATGTACGTTAAAGATAAACAATAAAGAATGGCCTCCTCTCTTCTGTAGCCACACACGGAGAGCCTCTGGCTTCAAGGATAGTCTGAAACAGCTGTACCCAGAGTGAGGCAATCATGACTTTTTTCTCAGAACACTACATTCTCGGGTTGTAAATTGTTTAGATAATGCCTTATTTTCTTAATTTTTTTTTAAAAGCAGCTTTCATACATGTGTGGGTACTAGGGCTCGAACTCAGGGCCCCTCTCTCTGGGCTTTTTTGCTCAAAACTAGATATCTACTACTTGAGCCAGTTTGGGGCTGTTGGAGATAAGCATCTCCCTGCTTTCTCTGCTCAAGTTGGCTTTGAAATGTGATCCTCGTAGCTCAGCTCAGTTGAGTAGCTAGGATTACAAGCATTGAGCCACCAGCCCCCAGCTAAAGCAATTTTTTAAATGCATGTAACAGGGCTGAGAATGTGGCTTCGTAGAGTGTTTGTGTAGCATGCATGAAGCCCTGGGTTCAATTCCTCAGTCCCACATAAACAAAAAAAGCCAGAAGGGCTGGGAAGGTGGCTCAATGGTAGAGAGCCCTGGGTTCGATCCTCAGCACCACATAAGCAGAAAAGAAAAAAAAAAAAAAAAAAGCCAAAAGTAGCAATGTGGCTCAAGTATGGCTCAAGTGGTAGAGTGCTTAACTTTGAACAAAAGCAGTTCAGGGACAGCGCCCAGGCCCTGACTTCAAGTCCCAGAACTGGCAAAAAATAAATAAATAAAATGCGTATAACAGTACACACACTGTTTCTACCATATCTCATCCCAGACGGCACTGGGGCCCAAAAAGCTGGCCTAAGAGGGTTCCTGTGCCGCAACGCTGCATGGCCGGCTCACAGTAGGAAGAGAACCCTCCTTCTACTGATGGGGTGCAGGATGCACACCTCAAGGCCCCCAGACAAGAAGGTATCTGTCATCTGCAAGAACTCCTGGTACTTGGGAGCCCAACCACTGAGTCCAGCTCAGTCTCCCATTCCCCCCCACACACGTATACCTTCTGGTTAGTCCCATTGGTTTCTCCCCAAACAGGAGATGCCAGGATGAGAAAGACAGACTGAGAGGACTGATGACAGATGCCATGTCTTCGCAAAAGGAAAAGGAAACCCATTCACTGGAAGCAGAGTTGACGTCAGGGAGTGGGGGGCTGCTGCCCCAAGAGCAGATTCCTTTCCCGGGCAGGAAATCCTGAGCCTCCCTGTTTATGATTCACTCCTCAGACAAAACCATGCCAGTGTCAGCGGAAGTCCACTCCTCCATGGCTTGCTGCTGAGAGAGGGTCTTTCCCAAACACGGGCCTAGAGTGAACTCCAGAGGAAGACCAGATGGCTGGTGATCCCATAGCATGGTGCTCCGTGTGAGGGCCACCGTCATAGGGCCAGGTTCTCCCCCACACCGCCAAGGTCTCTTGGCCCAATGAACAGAGTTGGATAGTGATCTTTTCTACAAGCACAATGCATAATGTTAGATAACCAAAGGGGCCAGCTTCGGATCTTGAATCTAGATTCTCAGATCTCAGCCTCCTTAGTAGTTAGAACTACAGATGTGAGCTAGGTTTTGTTTGTTTGTGGTTATGGGGCTTGAACTCAGGGTGCTATCCCTGAGCCTCTTTGTGCTCAAGATTAGTCCTCTACCACTTGAGCCACAGAATCACTTCTGGTTTTCTGGTGGTTTATTGGAGATAAGTCTCATGGACTTTCCTGCCTGGGCTGGTTTGAACCATGATCCTCAGATCTCAGCCTCCTGAGTAGCTAGCCCCTGGTACCCATCTTTAAGCACTTTTAAGCTAAGACACATGTCTATGAGAACTGTTGGCCCTCCCACCCCCCACCCACCACCTTCTTGGTACCAAAATGATATGGGGAGCCATCTCAGTGAACCTTCTATGTACAGCTAATATATGTTAATGGAAAATGGGAGGAAAATAACATGGGCTCAGGTAAGAAGCACAGGTAGATGCTCACTGAATGGTGTTGAGCTGCTCTCCCTTACTAAAATGCAGAAGTGGCTTAAAAACAAGCAAATGAACAGCATATAACTGGACACCAGTGACTCATGTCTATAATACTAGCTACTCAAGAAGCTGAGAACTGAAGATCTCAGAAGTCAGCCCAGGCATTGAGGCTATCTCCAATTAACCATCAAAAAGCCAGAGATGACTCAATGTGTGTGTGTGTGTGTGTGTGTGTGTGTGTGTGTGTGTGTGTGTTGCCTGGCTCTGGATATTTTGTTTGTTTGTTGTTTGTTTGTTTTTTTGCCAGTCCTGGCTTGAACTCAGGATGTGGGCGCTGTCCCTGAGCTGCTTTTGCTCAAGGCTAGCACTCTACCACTTGAGCCACAGCACCACTTCTGGTGTTTTGTATGTATGTGGTACTGAGGAATCAAACCCAGGGCTTCATGCATGCTAAGCCAGCACTCTACTACTAAGCCACATTCCCAGCCCCATTGTTTTCTTGAAACAAGAGTCTCACCACGTAACCCAGGCTGGCTTCAAATACCCATGAACCACAACAGGAAACAAATACATCCCTGTCTCCAGAGTAGCTAGGATTACAGGCAGGGGTGAGCCACCATACCTGACACATTGTATTGTTTTCTTTCTTTCTTTCTTTCTTTCTTTCTTTCTTTCTTTCTTTCTTTCTTTCTTTCTTTGTCAGTTGTGGGTCCTGAATTCTGGGCCTGGGCACTGTCCCTCAGCTCTTCAGCTCAAAACTAGTGCACTACCACTTGAGCCACAGCACCACTTCCAGCTTTTTCTGGTTATGTGGTGCTGAGGAATCAAACCCAGGGTCTCATGCATGCAAGGCAAGCGCTCTACCACTGAGCCACATTCCCAGCCCCCCCAATACACTTCTTTTTTTTTTTTTTTTTGGTCATGGGGCTTGAACTCTGGGCCTAGACATTGTCTCTCAACTTTTCAGCTCAAGGCAACACTTTACCACTTGAGTCACAGTGCCACTTCCAGTTTTCTGGTGGTTTACTGGAAATTAGAGTCTCACGGACTTTCCTGCCTGGGCTGGCTTGGAACTTCAATCCTCAGATCCCAGCCTCCTGAGTAGTGAGGATTACCAGTGTGAGCCACCAGTGCAAAGGGCCAAGTAGCAAGTATTTTAAGTATTTTACACTTTGGGACCAAATGTTCTCAGTAACAACTTCTCAGATGTAGTGTTTAAAAAAAAAAAAAAAAAGGCCCAGAGTGGAGGAAAGAACTTGGCTTCATTCCTTTTAGCACTTTATTTGCGAAATCGGTGTGCTAACCCCTGAACTCAAAAACAAGTTTCCTCATACCTGTAGCCATGCACAAACCTGTATGGCCCAAAACTAGAGGAGATGAGGTCTTCTGGGAAGAGGACCTACATTCTTTAGAGCTGTGGGTGGCCCAAAGGAGCCCGAGGTTAAGAAAGAATTAATTTTAGCCAAGCCCCTATGGCCTACGCCTATCATCCTAGCTACTCAGGAGACTGAGATCTGAAGACCA